TTTATATATGTCTCTAAATACATACATATACACACATATATATTTATACACATGCACTTACTCACATACATATACCCATTCTCACACATACATGAATACACATACTCAAAGTGCACATATACAGTATATACTTACATACACATGTGCCGACCATATACATACATTATTATTATCATATTCCCCTTTTCTTTTTTTCTTTTTACTCCTGAAAACTGAGCGTCACATGGAGGACGGGAGAGTGTAAAATAACTCCCGTTCATCTCTTTTTATCCTCTGACTCAGCGGTTTATGAGATGGGGGGGTTGAAAGCCTTCAAGAAGACCGAGAGGTCAAAAGATGATTAGACGGATAAGAAACAAAAACATTTACTTTTCCAAAGCAAAAAAAAAAGGTTCATTTGTTTTCTTCAGTAATCTGCTTCGACAGCAGTAAGCGATGGGTTTTGTTTTTGTTACTTTTCTGTCGGCTTCATCACCCAGGATACATATTTATCAGAGGTTGTTTTATGTAACCTGGCAGGAAGACTGCAGTCAGGTTTGAAGTAATCTCTGTCTTTTCATTAGTCTCTTTACAGTGAGAAAGTTAATTCCCCAAGTATTTTTTATATCCCACAATGGCTGCTTCCATCACATTGAATGATTTGCTTTGTCTTTAGTGATTGTCATTGGAGATTTTTTTGCAGGCGCTGAGCACATACACAAAAATTTGACATTTTAACCAATTAATTTGGAAAACACAAATTAAAATAGTCTTTATTTTGCTCCCATTTTTCCACATGCGTCTCTGCATGCATTAGGTCGAATCATCAGTGGTGGGTGTTTCAGGTCTCTTGACATTATGCACCTTCACACAGGGTTGATTCAACTCTGGCTGAAGTCCCAGAAGCACTTACGCAGCTCTCTTTCGTTTCATACAAAGCCATCTACAGGATCTGTTCTGCTGCCTCACTTGATGGCTTTTTTGTTTTCTTAGCCATGGTTTTTCCAGGAGGCTGAGTCCCCTGCTGAGTTTTGGTTGAAACACCTTTTGATTTTGATTAAAGACCTTTTTGCAAATGTAACATATTTTTTGTTCTGTGTACGTCAGACAGGAACACAAGCGTCCTCCGCTACTGCCCCATCTCGGACACGTGGACCGTTTTCCGCTCCTGTTCGGCGCACATCCGCAAGCAGCAGATGCTCTCGGTGGAGGACACCATCTTCCTGGTGGGCGGCTACACCCACGAGCTGGCCCAGCGGCAGCGGCGTCCCAGCCAGACGGAGGACGTGCTGACGGTGCAGTCGTACAACGTCACCACGGGGGAGTGGCTCCATCTGAAGGACAACACGTCCAAGTCGGGCCTGAACCTGACGTGCACGCTGCACAACGACGGCATCTACATCATGAGCCGGGACGTCAGCCTGCCCACCAGCCTGGAGCACCGCGTCTTCCTCAAGTACAACATCTTCTCGGACGCCTGGGAGGCCTTCAGGCGCTTCCCTGCTCTGGGACAGAACATGCTGCTGTGCTCGCTGTACCTCCCCAACCTGCTCTGATGGTGACATGAACATTGAGGGGGGTGGGGGGGGGGGGGGGGGGGCTTTAACACAGGCCAGTCGGTTGTTCTTGCACAGGGTAGGTTTCTGTTGCATTAGTGGGAGCACTCTCTGGTTGCCAGGTTGGACACCTCGTGACCTCTGTGCCTATAAAAAAAAAAAAAGCACTACATTGTACATACTGCTGTGGATGCAAATACAAAAGCTACAATGACAACAAGTATGAAAGTGATGAAGCACCGTGGTCCATCAACAGCATTGGAACAGCCCGGCCCCAGTTTGTGCCTCTCATGTGTTTAAAATTGCATTCAAGTAACGGGATCACCATCTGCTTCTCTGAATCGAAATGAACCTGGAAAGTTTGAAAAATCCAGAAATGTGTCATTCCAACAAAAACCTTCTGCTGGTCTGAGGATATAACCAAGACGCTCTTTACAACTTAGGTGAAAAAAAGACTTTGTCTGATGCACAATTAAAGGACCAGTGTGTGTAGGGAGAGATATTATGTGTCATAGCTATATTATAATGTTTATTTTCAAGTCACAAGAACACCAGGAATGATGTGTTCTCCTCATCTTAGAATGACATCTTTATTTCTACAGGGGAAGCCGGTCCCAGCCGTGTTTCTGCAGTAGCCCAGAACAGACCATGAAGGTTTATCACGGGTTTAGTGTCCACCATAGGTTCTCCTCCAAGCTTGGAAGGAGACTTTATTATCATTCAAGTTAAATACTACAAACCGCCTCTTAAAAATCATTTGAAACTTGTTTCCAACATGTTTCTGAAGATTCTTCTTCCTTTTTTTTTTTTTTACACTGTAGCAGACGTAATAGTTTCCTCTCAGGTGGTCCAGCAAGTCTTTAGGATTCTGTATTTATCTTCAGAGCAGCACTAAGTGTTATTTAATGATCATTGTTGACCTTTTAGAGAAACAGATGTTTACCTCATGTAACATTAACACTTGAGGGCCACAAACTGAAGCTGCATAACAGCATGCTTTAAAACCTCTGGGGCTACAATATTCTCCATGTTTACACTCCAGATGTGGCATTGGCGTACATGTTGAATCAAATTCACTACAAACCTTAAAATATCTCAGAAACGTAATGTCCTTATGTACTGTACATAGCAGATACTCCTGATTACGGCTTTGGTTTTACACTGCCAGTTTTTTGAGATTTGATGAAAGTGACTGTTTGGGATGACGAGGCTCAGAGGGAGCTTCATGTGTTCTTTATACTCTTGCACTTGTCTTATTTTTTTTTTCCCAGAGAAACACTAAGCAAAGCTTAAAGCGCAACTCCATGAAATGAACGCAGCACATGTGCCTTCTGCAACCTCTCCTAACTTTATAAAAATAAAAAAAAAAGCACAAAATGCAAGACTTTGTTACATTGCCAGCGACTGACCAAAACTGCTGTTTTATTTTCTTCTCTCTGCTGAAGCAGATTTTGTGTTTGTTGAGGTTCTTCTCAGTTCCTTGATTACATATTGGGAGTGTGTGGGTGTGGGAAACGAGCCTCAAAGCAGATTTTATCCCTGAACTCTTTATTGTTTTGGTGAAATGCAGCAGTGAAAATGTTTGGTTTGGTGGATTTCAGATTCTCTCTGTACAACGGTTCTTATTTGTTTGACAGTTTTGGAATTTAGGTCATAATAATAAAGATGATGTTCAGGGGTCTGTTCTGATGTTTGTCCTTTAATTTATCCTTTTTTAAGGTCTTATTTCTTCATTTTCTCTTGGATGTGTTCTATTTTAGTGCAAAAATCTTTCGACAACATCTTGCCGGTTTTTGGACCCTTGAGAAAAGATCGACTCATGTATTCCAAGGAAGTAAAGACGTTTTTTCGCCTGGTGCCATGAAATAGAAATAAGTATATGTCGAAGGTTTTGATATGTTTTAAGATTTGGTTCAAACTAAAGAGACAAAAATCTGTAACTTACCTTTATCGTAGTCTATCCATGAAGATAGTTGAAAGCAGCTACACAGGTGATCTCACTTCAGATCTCTGTGATTGACATCTCTCTCCCTGTGTGTGTGTGGGGGGGGAGACAAGTGACAGAGACATCCTCATTACTGATTTCCCCCTTTGCACCGCTGACAGTGTGACCTGTCACAGCAGGTGAAGCTCAGGTGTTAACTAAAGTAATGACATTAATGATGGCTGCCTTCTCTCCAAGCGTTCCAGAGAGATTATCAAAGTAGTTGCAGATTAATTTATTCCAAAAATTTGTATTTCATAAACTCCTCAAAAATGTATTTTTATCTTAAGCTTTCAGACAAATGAACTAGAGGAAGAAATACAATGTGTTGCTCTGTAATGTAGGACTGCAGAGTAAGTCAAGTATTCAACTTAAATAGTGAAAATACTCCAGGACTGAAGTAAACTACCTTCCACCACAGATGTTTACAGAAACAGTCAAATATATATAACATGGCACTCACCTGAAAGCTCTAATGCTGCTTTACTACTCAGTCCTCTTTATGTATGCTTATAGTACATTTAGGACTTTTGAAGAATGTCATCTATTAAAATCCCTCAACGATGCTGCATCACTCGTTGTTTTTCTCACACATCTACGTCTGCTGAAATTAATGTCTCTGATTTGAAAACTTGCAAATGTAGAAAATCTTAGCCTCAATTCAGGATTTTTTTTTTGAGAGGAATTGAAATCCCATGGGGAAAAAAAGACAGCAAGTAATTACAGAAAGAAAACGACCAGCAGGTGGCAGCACAGTGCTTTTAGAAGATTATCCACTTCACCTTCACAAGGACTTAACCCTAAAACAAAATCACACATTTCCTAATAAAATCTTCATTTTTTTTTGCGCTGCCTTTGAATATGAACATGAGTTTTTCTGATTAACACACAATGAAGCAACACTTGACTGTTTTATAGAAACACCTGTAGGCTGAAAGATGAAGGCTTGTGTCACCATGTGGAAGGTCATGAACGCTGACGGACGGGATATTCTTGGCTTTTGTTAAGTGCAGACAAATGGATAGATGGATGGATGGGTAGAAATGGTGTTTTCTGATTCAGGGCGGTCACAGCGGAGGCAGAGTAAAAATCAATTGTGACCATCAGTGGTGGAGATTGATCTCCTGTGTACGGGGGGTCAGATCGGTGTGATCTCTCTCACACCTCCACAGAGGACTTCAAACGGTGTCAGGCTTTACAGATGAGATGGAGTGACTTGATTATCTCATGGGGAGAAGGTAGTTATTTTGGCAGTTAATTAGAGTGAATATGATTGCAGAGTAAAGATTTTTCTTTCTGATAAAGAGTCAAGTGAGAAAATGTAGTTTGAAGCCGGAGGTGAGCATGCGTCTGTGTAGAGTGTGTGACGGAAAAGAGGAGGGTTCAGAGACGAGGGAGAGAGAGAGAGAGAGAGAGAGAGAGAGAGAGAGAGAGAGAGAGAGAGAGAGAGAGAGAACCAAGGACAGACAGCACTGAGGGGAGGGGAAAAACACACACACTCACTCTCTGTCACACCTTCCTCACATCCTCACACAGCCTCTGAGAGAGACAGAGCACATCTTGACATTGTGAGGAAGATGCATGTCCACATCAGAAGAGCATCCAGGACAGGAGAATAGCCCCAAAATCAAAGAGACAAATACATGCCAAGGACTACAAACTAACAGGGGAAAAAAGAGAGTGAGTGTGCCTAGAGGGAAGGACAAGCTTATCTACAGAGAGGGCGAAACAGGAGAGGAAGAAGTAACATCTTCTGTTGCCTTTTAAGGGATCTGAAGAGCAGTTCTGCATTTAGGATTTTCTCATCCTCTTTGCACACGACTTCTACTCTCTCTCTGTCTCTTGCTGCTGCTGCTGCTGTGAGGTTACAGTCTCTGTGGTACCAGAACATAAGGGCTTCTTTACGGACCCGACACCATGAGCGAGGCGAAGAAAGGTGAGCTAGCCATCCGGGATAAAGCCATCCTGCACCAGCAGAGGCGTCTGAAGCAGGCCACCCAGTTCTCACACAAGGACTCGGCTGACCTCCTGCCCCTGGACGGGCTGAAGAGACTGGGCACGTCCAAAGACCTGGTGAGTGGAATCACAAATAAGTACTTGAGATAATCGGTGCATAAATCACTTGATTGGAGAGGCTCTTTTGGTAGGGATGTTAAAAGTTGAGAGTGGAAGTGTCTAATAACATCTCAAAGGGATGTGCAAAGTGTCGAGTCATGCCTTAAAGAGTACACAACTAAATAAGCAACAAAATTCTACAAAAATGTTGAAGCTGTGATAAGTAGTTCAAACATAAAATGATTCAAATTTGCTGCAAAATCACAGATATATATATATATATATATTTTTTAATATTCATCTTCCTCAAAAACATTTTGCCTACATTACCCACAATGCATCACACTCGTTGACAGTTTTGTGAGATTCAGTTGTTCTGTACAACAATGTCAACTATTTAGTAATAGTATTAATGTTCTTTTCCCCTCGTTTAAACATTTTGACGACATTACCCACAATGCAACTCGACTGTTGACAGCCCAGAGAGACAGAGAGAGAGAATTTGGCAATGCTACTACAATTCTACAATTCACTTAGCAGACTCTTTTATCCAAAGCGACGTACATCAGAGAGTAAGAACAACACAAGCAAGGATCTATAAAAAAGGGAACAATGTCAGTAAGAGCAAACGATCAGCTTTGAGTCTGATTGGACACACAGGTGCTGACAGGAAGTGACCAGAGGCAAAGCACAACATTGAGGGCAGTTCTTGAGAGCTCTAATCAGTATAGAAACCATCTTATAAGTCATCATTATCAAACAAAAACCATCGTCATTACCATCATCATCATCAATAATATGGAGAGCATCATCATTAAGTTAGTAGGTATTCATGAAAGAGCTGGGTCTTTAGCTTTTTCTTAAAGGTGCAGAGGGACTCTGCAGATCACATGGAGTTTGGAAGTTCGTTCCACCACCGGGGGGCGACAGAGGAGAAGAGTCTAGTCAGAGACTTAGGACCCTGTTGTGAAGGTTGGATCAGACGCCTTTCATTGGCAGAGCGTAGTGGGCAGGAGGACAATGCTATGCTAGTAGTGGCTAATTGTTTTCAGCTGCTAACGTTAATGGCAGAGATAATGAGGGGAATACAGAAGTCTGATAACGGTCTTGATTTAAAATCCAGAGTCCGCCCAGTCTCAGACCGAGACAAGAACAAAATAACATGCTTTCGAATTTGAGAAAAGACCAAGACCTTCAAAAAGTGGTCCAAAGACAACGCTACAAAACTAGACAGACCAAAACAAACAATATATGAAGTTTACAGCGAAAGACAAAAAAAGAACAACAGGTATTCACAGTAAACACACTTTAAAGGTTTTTTATGCGATTTTTTGATCCAGCAGATGTCGCCCTTGAGCACCAGCATGAAACCAAAACAACTCGTGCTGCATTGTTGTGTTAGCATGCTAATGCTAGCGATCTTTATTATGCTGGTATCTTCACACTGCATGTAAATTTACCTGAAATGAGCGTGATCTAGAAACACAGTTAAGCAGTGAGTACAGTATGTTATTCTTCTTTTCTCTAGTCCCTCAATTAAACAACTTCTATACACGAGGGGAGGAGTCAGCCGGCCGTCCTGGCGATGTAAACAAAGTGAAGATAGGACTCTGAAAACTCTGAAAACATCACAGACAGTGGGACTCGGGTGTTACACCCATTGTAGACAGTCATGACTCACAGAGTTATTTTCAGAGGATATACTTGATTTATATTATATTTAAGTTTGAAAAATCACATTTAAAGCCTTTAAATGTTGATGGCAGTTCAATAATTATTTAATTGATTAATTGTTTTAAAGGCTAAAGAAAATGGCTGCATAATAGCTCAGTCGTCAATTTACTGACAAAGTCATGCATGAGGATCTATTTGACTCCTGATAAATGTACAGCCATCATTCTCTGCAGAACTACAGTATACCTCGTGGTGCTGAAAGCCCTAAAGTGCAGCCTTGAAATGTAAATGCATCACAGAAACGGTCATGAAAGATTCAGAATCCTGCGCTCTGCATACCATAGGAGGGCTTGTTTAGTCAAAGCATGTTACAGTACACTATGCAGGGCTCTCAGACACACAGACATGTCGTCACACATTCAGGGAACACACACACTCACACATGCAAGGGCTGACGTACACAATGAAACCCAGTCCTGCATGCTACGTGCGACCTCTCGCTCAGGAGGAACTCCCTGTAATAATCTTTCTAATTTATTACTCCACCTCTCCGCTGACACAGTTCTGCTTTGATGGCGGCTTCCCAGATTCCCCAGAGCTCTTCAAGAACCCCGACACAAACGCTCAGGCACTGGGAATCTGCGATATCGCTGCTCTGTGCGCTCTGCACATCTCCAACTGTGATGCATTTACTCGTCTGCCAGATTTGAATACCAAACATTTGCTTCTTTAGATAAACATTCCTCCCTCCTTCTCCTTTCTTCGTCTTCTTTGACTCAGTCACATTTTCAAATCATTTCACGATCCGCTGGTAGAAAAATGTCTCTCTCTTTCCTCCCTTATTGACTCTGAGCTCCTGGGGAAACATTTCATTTAAAACTCCAAATGTGGCATTTTGATGTAGATGTTATCTCACATGCGTTTAAAGCCATGCTAGCATCAGAATACTCGGCAACAGTCAGTCCTTCACATTTGTCTAGACTGAAATATCCTAACAGCTGTTGGGTAAATGGCCTTTGAAAATGTGTCACCAACAAGTGAATACTAAGAAATTGCTGTAAATTTACAAGGAAATTTCAACAGTATGATCCTGTTATGTTTAAATACAGGACATTACTGTATTATAACGGTTTATAACAATATTTTACTGTATTATTGCTTGAAGGAAACAAAACGGTAATTTACTGTAATTTTTGCAATGCATTTTGGGAAAAAGAAGTTGAGACCACATGGTTGAAAGGACAGTGGACAGGTTGTTTATTCAGTTATGAAACTATAACAGAATTTTTTTCACTTATCTGTTTAAAATGTAAGTACCAAAAGTCTTTTATGCACTTCATATACATTGGAAATGGCCTTTGCTAAACGCCTTAATGTAAATATTTGTGCGAGAATTTTTGCCTATTGAACCTTCATGTTCTTAAAGTGTATTTTCTTTGTTTAAAATAACAGCTTTTTGCTGTAGTTACAAAAACGGTAGAAAACTGTAAAACAGCAATATACCGTTAATTTTACAGTAACGTCCTGGCAACCCTACAGCCAGTTGTTTACCGTTTTTTAACAGGGGAATTTCTAAGAGTGTAGTTTTGAGTGTAACATCTTTAAAATACATTCACAACCTCACAGGATGAAACTAAGTAACGTTTGTTAACCCTTAACTGTTCTTAAATCGTCATTATCAGGCCAGATTTATTTTGTTCTGACGCAACTAGCGTGCCATTGTCATTTCATCGACGTTTAATTGGCAACTATTTAAACAATTTATTTGATGTATTAAGGAAACTGTCGAACTGGAGAAGGATTACATACAAGGGATACATCACTTTTAGAGCTTCAGTGGATCCTAACATAATGAACTGTACCTGCTAGCTTAAACCTCCTAGCTTTGCAATTGTGAGTGAGTTAGCTTCCTGATATTAGCATTTAGCTAACAGAGGCCCTAGCATGACTGTACTGTAGTGTGGATTCTTATTTCTGTAACGTAATGGCAGCCAGAGTCCCATTTTGCACATCTACATATTAATAAAGAGAGAATAAAAAAAGTTATCAGCATCAAGACAAAAATCCCTAAAACTCCATTAAATTCAAAAAGCGTCCTGTGAGTCGACATCTCCTGCCGGGTCCTGAAAGCCCTCTTATCATAACCCACCAATTATCTTATCCTGGAAGAGAGAATGAAGCTCATCTCGGCGGTTATCTAAAAACCTATCTGCGGTGCAGATGTGGCCACAGGGAGCCCGACATGATTTTGCTCAGCGTTTGAAACAAAGTGATTTTCATCAGAAGAGCTTTGGGAACTTGAGGGAGGAATGCAAATTGCGAGGCGGACTCCGTCATGCCAGTAATCTCCCCTCTGCAGACAGCCCGAGACATGATTCAGGCTGGGAATAGACACGGATGCAGAAAATGAAAAGAAAGCATGTACTTCTGAGATGGCTCGCGTGCCAAACCCTCAGAGACAAAAGATGATGCTGTCGGGATCAGACTGTCAGATCAGTTTGTTTGTCAGTAGGCTACAAAACATCGTCTGTTTTAATGTCTCTGTGGTGGAATTAAAAAAAATATATAAATATTTTCTCCCCTTTGTCTTCTGGACGTCAATACCAAAGCTCATAACTGAAAGTATATGAACTTCTTTTTGATAATTAACGATAAATTAAGGAAAATCAACATGATAAATCTCTTAATTTTGCAGAGTGAGTTGAAGTTAATTGTAAATCTTCCTAAACTGATTATGTGCTACATCATCTCTTCCTCCTTTTTTAAACGCTTTAAAGGGTGACCAAGCCAAATCAGAGGAGGGTAAGGGTTAGTTATCTTCATCCCTGCCATCCTTCCTCTTAATTTGTGCTTGCTGTCCTGTCCTGTCCAGTGTGTAATTCAGCAGCAGAGCAGGTTATGTAAGAGTGAATTTGTTTTGCTGCTCTTTAGCCCGAGGTCCTTTCACTCGCAGCAGCAGCAGCAGCATCACTCCAACCATGTTGTGTTGTTGGGTAAGGGGAGCAGTGAGCAATGAAAAGGGCAAAATCTACAGCGCGAACGCAAGAGCGATGAAGAGGAAGGGAAGAGATGGCTGGAGACATGCAAGGTCAAGGAGGATGCTCGGTCTAGTGTGGATGTTTTACATAACACAATGGAGAGCTTTGTTTACATGTGCGAAAAAAAAAAGCACAAAGAGTAAACTGCAGGAAGGTATATGTGTACGTGTGTGTGTGTGTGTGTTTGGGGAATTGGGTTGGAAAAAGGCCATTAACACCTGAGCTCAGCATGGACTCAGTTATTGTGTAACTGCACACACTCAATGCAAGAAAATTTAAGATCACTGAAAAGCAGCGACGTTGCCA